TCTTCTGGAAAAGTCCTACACCGGCATCTGCCAGAGTGGCACAGATGGGAGCCAGAGTCTCTGGGTCTCACCTGCTGGCTGGAGGCAAGGCTGTCTCCTGAAGAAGTGCAGGATTGATAGGACCGGTCACAGAAGGCCAAACAAAGACTTGTTTATAGCCGCCCATTAAAAGCAGTTATGGTCATGCAAAGGATCAGGCGAGGCCGTCTCAGCAGCCGGCTGGACCGCAGCCAGTCATGCAAGCTATTCACCTCGCCTGCTCATCCCACAGCAGAAGGCCCTCACCCCTTCGTCCCACCCACACTCTGCTTCTCGTGGCAAGGACCTGAAACTGAGAAAAAAGCCTCGCTGCTCTCATGCCGTCCTCGTGGCTCCTTTGCAATCCTTAGGCCATGTCAGGCGTTTAGAGAGAGCCGCGGCTCGAAGCTCCTCGCGCCGTGTTTTCAGAAAGAAACAAGTTTTCTAAATCATTGGCCCTGCTGGGCTGCTTTATCAGATTCACTCCTACATTTGCAAGAACAAACGGCGGAACACGGAGACGAAGGCACAAGTGAAAATCATCTGCGCTTCCGTCTTTACACACGCTTCTTAATTTCACACCAGACCTCGGCAGATTCAGTGCAATGATGTCCTACGACACCCTCAGAAGAAGTTTTTGGACTGCAGTTTTGATTTTCTGATGTATTTTTAAAGTGTCCTCCCACAACTTTCCCTCCCTGCACATGTCAGGACTCTCTCTGATTTCCTTTCTGTTGTGCTTCTCCATCTCTCTCTCTCTCTCTCTCTCTCTCTGTATGGGTATGTAGGGGGGGGCATTATCGGCAGGCGGGAGGATGCAGCCAGTCTGATGCAGATCAGATCGCCTTGATCTGTAAAGTAAATTTAAATGAGGTTTTTGCTTTTTTTTTTTTTATTTTTTAACCTGCCAGGGAATGGGTTGCGCTTGGCTGGCTTGCTAGCAGCCTGCTCCTTTGAAAAGAACGACTTTTTAAATTACACATAAATCACTGTCAGTGCGTAGGGGTCTGGTGCTCCGAACGGCCCGTGCTCAGTCAGTGGAGGGCGCCGCGGTGGCACAGCAATCTCAGACCCTTTCCTTGCCGCATGCTGCCGCCACATGACCATGCCCACACATACACGCACATGCGCACGCACACACATTTCTTGTAAGGTCATGCCACATTTCACATTTTGCTCCGTGAACACTCTCACAACATTTGGCGGTGTGATTAAGATCCTTAATGTGCTGGGGGATCCAGCAAAAAAATTGAATGCACGGGAAATACGGGATGTCACCGCTGGTATGGATTAGCTGTAAGCAAAAATAATTAGAGTACAGTTGTTCAAAGTCAGTTTATTAAAGAATAAGGGAAGCCAAGGGCCCCAGATATATCTGTAATAACTTCTCAGGAAAGCCATGAGATGCGCAGCCGGTGAGTGACTCTACAATCAAGTCAAATTTAATGAGGAACAAGGAGACCTAAAACCTACAAAATGCATTTGGAGAGCAGGCCCCCGACCTTAATTAACCGTTAATGTGATCCAAACTGGTTGTCGTGGCTGCTGGATGCTTAAGGCTGAGAACCACTCGTATGTTGGTTTGTTTACGGGGGCTTGCTTGTGCCATGCATTTTTTAGTGTGAGGTTGTCCGACTGAAATTCCTTCCCCTCGCCAGTGCTGTCATCTTCCATTGCGGTGATATTTCCCAGGTAGACAGTTCATCAATTTCAATGAAGTTCCCACACACCACAAGTCTATGAATAACGCTGTCACCTGGCACCTCAGCCGGTCCTGCCGGCTGCATTCCCACTGCATGCCAAGCAGGGCTCTCTCTGTGGCCTGGGCCGCAAGGCCACCCACTGCGCGTGACCCTGCTTCAACCTCCTCCCTGCTTAACCATGTACTCAGGCAGCGCTAGACCGGGCTTCTCTGCTAACCGCTACAGATTCAACTCCACCTGCACAGTGTGAGCTTGAGCGACCATGGTAACACAGCGCGCAATTTTGGATTTACCACGTCGATGGCTTGGGATGATATTCCTGATTGATTTGATGTTTGCCAGCACTGTCTAGTACATCTGTTGTTTCACGTTACACTTGCACTATTTTCAATGTGCACAATTGTAATTACAGGTAATTAGAAGTGGTCGTAGCTCTGCTTGCACCGAGAAACCGACGACAGCATATGTCTGCGTGATAAATGTTGCTCTACAAAGGAGCCGAAGCTGAAGTGGCCAGTCATGCAGCAATCATCTGTTATGCTAACAATTATAACTGTTAATTAATTCGGGAATTATAGCTATCAGAATCAGATGCGACTCGCAGATGTTTTTGCTCCTCAGGCACCAGAAAAAATGCAAAGCTGCTATGGAGTCTTGCGAAGGAGGCTGGCCAGGTGGCACTCTGTGTCTTTGCCCCACGCATTTTGAAAGTTTGCGATGCTGCAGGACATGCAAATGGAAGCATGTGCATGTAGCAGCAACAATGCATGCCAATGGCTGCAAGTACTTCTGGCTGGGGGAGAATCAGATACTGTGGACAGACATGCCTTAACCACATTATGGGGCAATGAAGAGATTGGTTATCAGTATTATATGGGGGGTTGAGAAGGGTAGAGGGCATATTTGAGGGTCAAACAAAACTTTCGAAGCCAGAGAACTATGCTTTATGTATTGATTTCTTTTTTATTGTGGATATCTGAGGCTTTGAGTGTCCCCAATACCCAACTCTCTGCTGAACCCTCCAGATACTAGACTTGGGATTAAAGGTTACCATCAAATTCGGTGCGAGTTAAAGTTAATGAATATAAATGAGCAAAATGAGAAGTGATTAATGCTATATCTTATCTTTCTTCAGATTAGATGTTTTCCTTGAACTTGCTCCAAGGACAAGAAAAAAAGACAAATATGAAGTGCTAGCTGTCAGCAAAATTTGATGGATACTGATAAGACAATGTCAAAAACAGATTCAACTGAGGAGGGAGATGGTTTCCATTTAAGATACCAAAAACTGGTGCTAGTAGCAGCTTGTGCTAGATGTACCATGGTTTCAAAACTGGCTTTGTCATCAAAATATACTTTCAGTCTATGCACATATTTTTTGGAATAAAATGACAAAATTTAAAATGATTGGCTAAAAAGCAATGGTCCTGCAATGAGCCTTTAGTTCATATACTTCTCACCACGTCAATCATCTGGCTGCATAAGCAGAAGAACGCCGAGCCACCTGAAAGTGACTTTCCCACAATTTCTTATTTTCAGGATCTGTAGTTCACTGGTACCAGCTGTCGCTTCAGACTAGCAGGAATTCTGAAACACAGAGAAGCAAACTGCTGTGACAACGATGAGTCCCAGAGATTCCTCATCGCATGTGTGTGCTGAAGGTCCATTTTGCACTCTGCCAGCACCCCATGACATAAAGTGCTCAGTAGCTACACTGGGGTTGAAGCAGGTCATAAATCCATGAACCTTGGGAGTCACTCTCTCTCTCACTCTTTCAAAAAACTCAACGTGGGCATCACTTTATCACCCAGTCTGAAGACTTTGTGTTGACATTGCATAACACCAGTTGACATGCAACGTAAGGTGATTTCTGCTGAACTCTTGGCACTGTGAAGTAACAGCTCTTTATGAAATTCTATAATTAAGGAACATATGTTATGGCCTCGGGGCATGGTGCAGACGGGGAAAAGAAGGCGGCTCCCAGACAACAAAAGGGTTTATTGAAGGAACTAACACTGGAGAAGGCACAAAATCACAGGACCATCTCCGGGGGTCTAAAACAAACAGGAGAAACAAGAACTAACTACAAGCAATGCTGATGAAAGCAGGGCAACACCACAGACAGCAACCACACACAGAGTAACATCCCACAATACAGGCACCTAATACAATGCCTGACTGAAGAACTGAACAAAGGCAGACACTTAAATACACAGATAATGAGGACTGACAAACGGCAGGTGTGAATCAGACAATCAACCAATCACGGCGGGCGCAGGACAATGACCAATAGATGGAACAATACTAGCACAGGGAAGCAGGCAACAGGTAGATAAACAAGATTAACAAGGGAACTCTAACAAAGCACTTAGGGATAACAGCACTAGGAGCATGTACAATCAAAACCAAAATCAGCAGCGGGACACAAGCAGGGCAAACTGAAACCAGGAAAGCAAAAATAACCGATAAACACTAATATAAAAGAGGACAGCAATAAATACAAAACAACACATGAAGCTGGCCCACTAGCAGAGGGTTAACAGACTGCATGTTGCATCCACTAAGATATGTGGTGGTGTCGGGAACAGGGAAAACACACTAGGGAGGACTAGGAACTGAGACAGAGGGAGCAGGTTGGACAGCAGCACCTGCTGGCCGAACGGGGATGAACACATGGGAAAAGGGTTGAATGACAGAGAGGGGGAAAGGAGGAATGTCCAGCAATGCCTGCTGGCTGACTGCAGAAGGCTCACAGAGGGCAGGGTCGGACGGTACAGACCCTATAGCCTGCGTTGCGCCAGTGTGCATTGTTGTTACACATTTTATATACATGTTTCTTATATGAAAGATGAAAATTATGACATAAGAACATGGCTTCCTGGTTATACTGTGCAGCACATTTATTACCAGACTCTATTCCGCAGTTTTTGTGAAACTCTTTACTTCTGTCTCATTCACAAAAAATGCACTTATACATACCAGTGTATAATACAGGCTGCTGGGAGCACCTCTGGACCAGACTTTGTGTAGGACTCCTAACACAAATGGATCAAAATGTCGTTGTCCATTAAGCTAAATGAAGAAATCCTGTGTCTCAATGCTTGTGTAACATACTTACGCAAATGGACCATCTGATCAAATTATGCAAGCTAAGGATTATCAAACGCATAAGGTAGCATTTGATAAGATAAATGGGGGTGGTTTGCACATAAACCTTGTACCGATTCAGATACGTTTAAAAAAAACACAACAGGAGGGGCCAGGCTGTGTGGCGCTGTGACCAGTAAATACTGGTGTGAAGCAATGTTCCAGTACCATTTCTGAGAAGTGCAGTGAAGGAGCATCGTCAACAGTTTTTCCGTTGGTGGTGTGTGTGATGCCTGCGATGCTGTTGGCATTTTGTGTCTGTCTCCTCCTAGCATCACCATCCCTTGGGGTCCCATTAGGTGAACCTCACAAAAGAGTCAGGAACAAGCTGCTTCTGGTCTCCTTTGATGGATTCCGCTGGGACTATGACCGAGATGTGGACACCCCCAACCTGGACATCATGGCCCAGGATGGTGTCAGGGCCACTTACGTGACGCCCCCGTTCATAACCATCACCAGTCCAGCGCACTTCACCCTGCTTACAGGTAACTCGACACATGAAGATAACTTTTTTATTATTATACTATGATTCAGCCTCAGCTTGGGGTTTGAGCTTCGAGTTTTAGTTTGACATTTCAAGCAATAATATGTTATTTTCTTAAAATAGCTACAAATCGACAAAAATCGAAATGAGTTAATGTGAAATAAAAGTCAGAGATTCTTCACATGCTGATTAGAATTTAAGACATTACTCAAATAATTCAGACGGAGCTTACAATGCAATGCCATCGTTCAGTGCTGAGGTGAAATAATGAGCTGAATACATCCTTTATGATATTACCTCTTCTTAGGTCGGTACATTGAGAACCATGGTGTTATACATAACATGTGGTTTAATACCACCACTCAAGAGAAGAAACAGTACTATATGACACAGTTTGTTGATGAGTGGTGGGACAATGGCAGTCTGCCCATCTGGATCACAGCACAGAGGCAGGTAAAACAAAAGAGCAATGGCTGGGATTGGGGCCATAATACTTCATCTGGCCATGAAACAGGCCTCTCTCTTTATCACTGTGCGTCACTCTCTGTGAACCTTTCTCTGCTCCCTACTCCCTGCACTCCCTCCCCGCGTTCCCCTCCCACAGGGTCTGAAGGCCGGCTCTCTGCACTTCCCTGGAACAGCATCCCTATACCAGGGGGAGAAGGTTCAAGTTGGAGAAATGGAGCCAATATTTTACAATCACTCTAATGAGACAGCTTGGCATGAGAAAGTGGATAAAGTCATGGGTTCCTGGTTCAGCGAACAGGACCTGGATTTTGTGTCGCTGTATTTTGGGGAGCCGGACAGCACAGGGCACAAGTATGGACCGGATTCCCCGCAGCGTAGGGAGATGGTGAAGCAGGTGGACCGCACAGTGGGATACATCCGCCAGGCAGCCCAGAAGCATGGGCTCACTGACAGACTCAACATCATCATCACTGCTGACCATGGCATGACCACAGTGCTCAGGAATGGCCTGGTCAAGGAGATCATCATATCTAAGATCCCAGGTTTTTCATTTAAAGATATTAAGTTCCAGCTGCTGGATTACGGCCCTATCGGCATGCTACTTCCAAAGGAGGGAATGCTGGAGAAAGTATACAATGCCCTGAAAGGTGCACATCCTAATCTCCATGTCTACAAGAAGGAAGACATGCCCAGTTACCTTCATTACTCCAACCACCCTCGCATTCTGCCTATCGTACTCTTCGCGGATCCAGGATTTGTTATTAATGGGGTGAGTATAACACATCCTGAAAGTCTACATTACATTAAGCTGTCAAGCAGCTTCAAACATATATGTATGCAGTATTAGAAAATGAAGGCTTTGTTCCACCTAGAGACTAACATGAAGGTTAAAATTCTGCATTGAGAACACCGTACTTACTCTTGCATATAGTAATAATAACAATAAAATCTCCAGAAAGGTTGTGCTATATTGTCTATGATATATTTCTCACTGTCTGAACACGCACCATAGCAATATAATAGGCTATTTTTCACACAGACATAAATAAATAAAAGTAGCGGGGATGACTTTGAGTTCATTAAGCAGTTGGTGACAAGCAAATAGACTATTTCTGACCAAAAATGAATTAAATTTTAATCCATGCTGAAGAAAACGTACATTTATCCAAATACCCTCCCAGCATCCACTAGGTCTGGCTGGCAGTATAAAGAGATCCCCGTTGTCATTAAAGTATTCATGCTCTGAAATTCAACACTGGCTTTTAAATCTGACTGATCATTCAATTATTTTGCATTGCAGTCATGCTGGATCATTTTAACTCCTAAAATAACAGCTCCAAAAGATATAAAAATATGAAATAATAAGATCATAGAATCTTTTGTGATGGTATTTGATTCAATTGCATCCAAGCTCATCTTCCATGCATGGGTTCTGGAATCAAATCTCTTTATTGGGGTGGAGTCTCTCCTATTCTGGAATTCTCCATGGGAAATAGCCTCAGGACATTATGCGGATATTCACAAGTCCTTGACTGTGATCTGTGCTGCTGGAGTCTTTCCCCAGTGCACAGAAGTATTGCTTCTATGCAACTGCGGGTTGGCAGGGGAAAATCCTGACTGTTATTTGTGCGTATGCAACAAACAGTAGTTCAGAGTATTCAGTCTTCTTAGTTGATTTGGGTGAGGCGCTTGAAAGGGATTACACATTCTGCAGTCCCACCTATTCCCCCTGATTGCGAAGAGTGACCTAAACTATTACTCGCGATAGCCATGGTTTGTCCATAACAAACACTATATTTGAACACAGAGACAGTTACTGGTTTACTTGGAAGCAGCGCAACCCCAGGCCGAAAGCTAATGGCCAACTTTGTAGTTGTGTCATCTGATTTGATGTAAGATGTTTTGGACTGAAGAGGGGGGCAAGGATATCATTTGATCATCACTTGGCGGTGAGAATTGACACATTGGGAGGTTAGATGGACCAGGAAGACCTAGATAAGCGGTCAGTGTTTGCTAGGAATTACTGGCTAAAGCTTCTGTGTCTTGACAAATTCAACTTACCGCGCTAGGAAACTTCTCCCACTAGCTATATCATGTTGGGGACATTGAGCCTGAATTGATCATGTTCAGTACCTCAGTCATTGCAACAGTTGCTAAGAGCTGTGGCAGGAAGGCAGTCAGTGTCTGTCATGACAGTATCCGGAGGACACCACTGGTGAAAGAATCTGTCAAGCTGAAGAAGGAGGGTTTTAGCACAGTGTTAGTGTAGGAGTCTCAAGAGAAAGGCCAGAAGGCAGTCTCAGAGGAGGAAGTTTATGCTTGGGAGTTTCAAGAGGCTGTGGAGAGTGAGATTGGGCATCACTAAAGATGTTTTGGTAAGCCGTTCAAAGCTTTAGGAGGGAGAGGCAGAACCATGCTCAGATTGTATTCAACAAGAGTGGGGGAAGTACTGACCGACTCTGGGTATATTGTCGAGTAGTGGAAGGAACACTTTCAGGAACTCCTTAACCCAGAGGATATGCGCAGGAGGCAGTGCAAGAACCCTTTGGTTGCTATGGTGGTCAGGGACCTCCCTGGTGGGATGATTGAAGGGATAGATGAAATCTGTTCGAAAATGTTGAAAGCACTTGTGACATTGGTGATACACCTCTGTTGTGCTGCATGGAAGACTGGTTCCTCTAGACTGGAAAACCTTCTCTTAAAGGAGAAGGTTTATAATCATGTGCTCCAGCACACATTGTGGGAGGTTCTGTAGGAATAGAGAATACTATGGTCACTACTGCATGCTCTTCAGCCCCTATAGTTGTGTCTGGAAGCTGGTAACAAAGTTGAAGTTGTTTAGAGTGGGTGTTGGCCTCTGGCAAGGGTGCACCTTGTCTCCACTACCATTTGTGATTTTCATGGACAAGGTGCAATTGTGACTGGTAGGGTGTCTGAGATAGGGGGATAGAGGTGACATCCTTGCTATTTGTAGATGACATTGTTCTTCTGGCCTCATCAGGACTTCCAGCACGCACCAGAGCTGTTTGATGCTGAGTGTGAAGCAGCTGGGATGAGAATCAGTGGCTCGGCTGGTGGGGCTTTCCCAGAAAAGAGTGGTTTTCTCCTTTTAGGTGTGAGGGGAGTGTTTGCCCTTAGTGAAGGAGTTTAAATACCTTGGGATCTTGTTTACAAGTGAGGGTAAGAGGGGATGGGAGATTGACAGGCAGGTGGTTTGGTGGCTGCTCTTTTGTAGACACTGAGCTGGTCTATGGTAGTAAATTAGAAGCTAAGTCAATCTACCTCCATATCTTCACTTGAACTGTGGGTAATGACAGAAAGAACAAGGTTTTGAGTCCAGGTGACTGAAATGAAGGGGTCTGCAGGGATGCTGGATTCATTCTCCGTTACAGGGTGAGGATTTTGGAGATCCAGGGAACCTCGAAATAGAGCAGCTCCTCCTTTGTATCAAGAGAAGTCAGATAAGGTTGTTTGGGTCATAAAGATGCCACCTTGTTGCCTCTCAAGGGGGCTGTTCTGGGAATGTTCCACTAGGGGGAGGCCCTGTGGCAAACCGTGAACACATTGGAGAGATTATATTTCTCAGATGGATTGGGGACGTCTGGGGACCCCCCAGAATGAGCTAGAGTCTTTGGCCTTGTCAAGAGATGTTTAGGCTGACCAGTCCAGCATTCTGCCACCGTGACCCTCACCAGGATAAGAGCTGTGAAGATAGTGATGATGGTGATGGTGATGATGGCGATGATGGTGATGATGATGGTGATGATTATGGTGATGGTGATGATGGTGATGCACCCAATTGTCTGTTTATATCAGTAATGTGTAGAGTGAGGCTGTTGCTTATATACCTCCATTTAAACAAATCGATGTACCGACACATGCCCCGTTAGTGTACTTAAAAAACTAGAATGAACTTTTCCTTTCAATACATTTATCTTTTATAAAGTGAGCTCTAGTAAATACCACACTTAAATCTGAACTGTAGCTTCATATAGTGGCTTTTGATCCTCTCATATATTGCCGGCAGCAACAAGCTTAAAAAAATGCAATATAAATTTGTTGTTGGAATAATATTACATAAAGAAATCAGATTTTTTCCCCTCAGTGTATATGTACAGGCAACACTGATAAATGGATGAGAGGAAAGATCTAAAAGTAAACTGTTGACTTGAACATTTATCTGTGTGTGAGTATGAATATATAAATATCTGAGTATGAATATATACATATAATACTCAATCGATCCTTCATTCTGCTTCTACCCGTTGCAGTTGTATATGATTATGTACAGAATTTTGATTAACCTAATATCTATTAAATAACTGAGTGCTTTATATATCTTTAGCAAATCAACTACAACAGCCTTACATCATTCATGAATTGTAATACTATTTTACATTTTTAGGTTTAGCGGGAATGCACTGAGTGGAAATGCTTGTTTTTTTTTCCTGTGATGTGAGGTCACCCTCTGGTGACAGCTTTTGGTATAACAGTGCGTTCAGCGATGCATGACATTTCACGGGGTATAAAATACACCGGCAATTATCAATAATATTTCCTCACAAATGAGTTTGTCCAGTCACTCGTCTAATCTATATCGTATTGGGAAAATGTAGCCTAATGAAACTGGCCGATAGGAAATTAGATGTCACAAAGTCCATGAATTCATCTTGCCTATTTGTTTTTCTGCAGCTGTTCCCCGTCCAGTTTAATAAGGGGGAACATGGATTTGACAACCAAGCTATGGACATGAAGCCATTTTTCCGGGCAGTGGGACCGGACTTCCACAGAAATCTAGTGGTGGGCCCCTTCGAGACAGTACATGTGTACCCCCTCATGTGTCACTTGCTGGGCATCACACCTGAAGTCAACGACGGCTCAGTAGACGCCACACGACACCTGCTGGCCTCTTTTAAGGACTCGAGCCCGGCTGAGCGTAAGTGTGTATATTCCTCAACACATGAGCATAGATTTGGGTATGGATAATAGGGACATGTCCCTACCAATATTGTGAGATTACCATGTGTGATTGGGGGGGAGGGGAGGTCGGGGCTGATTTGATCCCTACCAAAGTTGAAACCAAACCAATGCCCTTGCGTCAGCAAATACTGTCACCATTTTAGCTGGCTTTCAGTTACCCAGCTTACACTGTCTTAGTGTGCTTACTACTCATTCATAAAGTACTTCCCAAAGACCTAGTACGACATAAGCATGAGACACAAACATCTTCGTGTAATAGTCTGAGTAATAATCTAGATTAAATATATGATTAGAGATTCTCTTGTGTCATATATCACTGTTATTCAAGTTAATCATTGATGTTGGAGGCAGTTTCAATTTGTTTTTAACACTTTTATGTCAAATTGCATGTTGAAGCACAATCAGGCAGATAGTTTGATGATACTTTTGTCACAGTTTGTTACTGGATTATAAAGCAACACTGCCCTGACTTTTTGTTTTTAAACATTTTTACTTTGCTTTTACTAAGATGTAGGGAATACAAGTAAACAGCGCAATGTAGCAGTTGCACTTGTCCAGACACTATTTTATCTCCCTATTATCTGCTCTTATTCTACTTTTACCTTGGAAAATTACCCTAGATGAGAGTGGCAGCCACATGAATAAATGTTAACTTAAATTTAGCAACTGAGACAAATTCTAGGTAAAAGGTGGCAATAAAATATTGAATCTATTTAAGGCAGGGATTTTCTGCTGGTATTATTATTTCGTTACACTGTTTTTCCCAAGGTGACCAACAATTTTTGCCCATTTTACTCAAATAAAATTCCGGATCGCTATCTTGCCCAAGGGTAACCGAGCACAGCACCTGTAGGGGGCTCGACACGCCACATTTCCTGCTGCCCTGCTGTCCTCTGAAAGACACAGCCAAGACGCCATGTTAGCTAAGCTGTCAGAAGCATACATACTGAGATTCAGAATGCAGATTACAGGGCTACTTACCAAAGGGAAAAAAAAAAGAAGTTCAACTGATTGATCCGATCAGATGAGGGCCTGTGTTTTGACCATTTTTTCTTCAGCTGGGGGCAAGGTAGCAGGGAAAGCTGGGGGTGACTCAGCAGGCTAAGCCTCTATGCCTGTGATTGGAAGGTCACTGGTTCGAGCCCAGCCTTGACAGAACAGTCAAATGTCCCTTAGCTCTAGGCTCTCCAGGCCCAAGCCAGTGGCAAAGCCTTCACTCTAACCCCATGCTTGCTCTCACCTGCATATGTGTTTCATGGAGAGCAAGATCAAGTAAAGAGAATTTCCCCACAGGAATTAAATAAGTATCTCTTCTCTTCCATTTTCTTATAAGAAAGGTTTCTTTTATTTGAAAGGTGAAAAACTGTGTTTTTCATAAGCGGTTGTTTTCTTTCAGGTTCGGAGCAGGGAGCTGTCTCTAGGGCCCTCATCGGTCTGGGAGCAGTGGCTGGGTTTCTGGCACTTGTGTTTGTGGTGGCCGTCTCTCACAGCACGTATAAACGGCGGCGCGGCAATCGCAGGTAGAGATGTTTCTTTTTTCCTCGGGGGCTTTGCCTTCCCATTGGCGAAAGTCACGGCACATTTGCCATATATCCAAGAAAAGGCCGGAATTACCTACCGTCTTGCTCGAAAGATCGCACAATTCATGTTTGCACTGAAGTAGCAAATGATGGAGGATATAGCCTTTTAGAAATCTTCCGGGAGGTTTATTTTTCATGCCAGTGTTCCACTTCTCCAACTGTAGAAATCAATTCATACATACAATCTCCTTATAAATATGAACTACAAAAGGGTTCAGGTTATTAGACAACTGTCGATTATTCTAAAGTGTCATCCGAACCACTAGGAATCAGCCACCGATTCTTGCCGCATAATGGTTCAGACAAAATGTGCTGTGCATAAAATAGTTTCATTCTAGCCTAAAAGGCCATTATGTGTGCTCCAGCTTAAGGTCTGATTTATTTTCCTGGGGTTTCAGCTGCGAGGGAGGTGTGGACACTGAGGAAAAAGACGGCATCAGCACACAAACATCCTTCTAAATACTTGCTGCACCCGAGCAGGAGAAAATGAGAGACGAGTGGCACTTCACAAGACTGAGGATCCCCATCTCCAAGATCTTCTAAGCCCCCTCCCCCCCAAAATAATGTCTGCTGTAGCATTCTGATGACTCTGCATTTTCTTTAACTTCACATTTATGGTTTCAGGCATATATATATATATATATATATATATTTATTTTTTATCCTTTTTTAATTTATTTTGCCAACAACACAAAACACTTACTACACATGGCACAAAATGTGTATACTGAATATAAAATCAAATTGGCATCAGTAACTGTTTATAGTTAAAGAAATGAGCTTAATGTTTGTTAAGTGAATATTTCCGCTACACTATGTCAATCTGTCCATCCATCCATCCATACATCCATCTTCCATAAATGCTTACCCAGGAAACAGGGCATGATGCAGGAGACACCATGCCAACCAATTCCATGATTTGCATCAAAATTATACCTTATACTTATGAATCCATTCAGGGTCAAATATATGTATTTTATATATTGCCAGCAGGGATATTACAGAAGACAAAGCCTTGTGTATCAACGTAAAATCAAATTCTTGCTCAGATTTTCTTTAACCATGAAAATTAAGCAATTATACAGAATTGTCACTGTCAAAGGAACATTCTGCAACTGGACCCCATTACAAGAAACATGTAGGTTTCCCCAATTAATGCAAAATGCAGTCAAGTAAAGTTGTTAAAGACAAACCATGTATGCATTATAACTGAAGATATTTCTTACTAATTAGTTAACTACCATGGAGAATTAGCCCTTGATAAAAGGTATATCGGTGAGCCATAAACTTGTTCATTTCATTCAATTTATTGTGAGCTGTGTACATAAAAATACATATAATATGGCATGAAATGTATTGTCACACAGATTACCTCGAAAATGTTCCTTTTTGCATTTATTTACATGTTAAAATAAAGCATTTTGCCTGCAAAATTTTGCAATATTCTAAATTCTAAATAAAGAAATATGAGTAAAATGTAATTGTTGCCATCTAATATTCTGAAATATTCTTGTACTGAAGAGCTAACTATGGAGTTCACTATAATCATACTTTAATAGAGGTGGGAAAAAATATCGATTTTATGATTAAACGCAATCCTGGCTTTGACATTCACTAAATCTCAAGATCGATCTAGTTAATTTATGCCTCTTCCCATGACTTTCAAAATATTTTCAATGAATTTTCCTCGTATCAGTCCTCTTATCTTATCATATAGGTGGTGCTACTTTCTCTCTCCCCTATAGGAAGGTTCCAATAGTATTGCGCAATCGCCTCACACCGCCATCTTGGTGCATTGTCAGTAATGGTAGTGAAGGCAAACAAGTCTAGTAGGGCTTTATTTTCACACCAGTCATATTCAGTGCACTGCTTATGGTGACGCGAAATAATGTTAACGAAAAGCAAAATAAATAAAATGCAATAATGGCAAACGAGGTAAAGAGAAAACAGATATTAATGGATGTGGCCTGCTCTCAGTTATGAGAATATTGGTAATTATCTGTTTTTTCAATTGTCGTGGGTAACACTGAAGCAAATGAAAGCGACTGTAAGTCTGCAGGTATAATGCACACTTATTTGTAGCTGGATACAAGAACGGCAGAGGGAAGGGTGTGGATGAAATATTTCAGTATATTCACGGACAAGTACAATAATCTCATGCTTATTATTAAATGTAGTTTTTCGTTATCTTGTTATTTTCGTCATGTAATGGTGGTATTAATGCTACGGTGCGGTACCTTTTGTCATATAGTTTTTACAACAAATCTGGACATTAGTGAATGTGTCATAAATGTACTGTAAATTGAATAGAACTGAAATTGAATGCAGTTGGGCACTTGTGAATCAAAAATTAATCGAATTGTGAGGTCAGGGCTAAGCAATGCCTGTATGTTCCTCAAATAAAAAAGATTCTAATTTATGTTTTGGCGTATACCTTTAACTTAAAGTCCGTCTGAAACATGGCATATGAGTTTTAGACTTGCCCATGTTATTTCAGTAAGAAGTCATTTTTGTGCTTTGAAAGAGACAGGTTGGTTTTGTTTTTAAGGAACTACAGTATACCCATATGTTCCCCAAATAAAAAGATTTTGGTGTACAAGCCTTTGGCCTTTCTTTAGTAGTTTTCACAATTTGTTTCCAGTGACTCTGCATTTGTTCATTTGTGTTCTGTTTTAATGTTTTATTTTAACACCTGTCCAAATATGTAAAGCTACTATATAGTATTTCATATCTCATTCCTGTTGATCTGATATTGAATCAGAATCAAATCAAATCATTATGTTGTGAATCGGAATAGAATCAAATCAGGGCATCTGTGCCAATACCCACCGTATACTTAAGCAGTCAAGAAAAGTGACTATGTCACATATGAAACATGACATACTTCTTAAGTTGCATTATATTATGCAACGTTATGCAGCAATAAAGTGAAGTCAGCTGAGTACCTGAATCTACTGGCCAGGTTATACCTCCATCCTTCATGAATGGATTTTTTCTTCCCTGTTGGCATGGGCATATTCCAGCACAAGAATGCCAAGATTCATTGGGTTCGAATTGTCAAAGAGTGGTTCAGGGAGCATGAGGAATCATTTTCACGTTTGACTTGGTCACCACAGAGTTGTGACCTTAACCTCATTGAAGGTCTTTGGGATGTGATAATGGAGGCTTTATGGAGTGGTTCAACTCACTTTCATCTCGGTGAAAAATGAATGCAAATCTGGATGAAAATAAAGGGTGAGATGTTGCATAAGCTTGTGGAAACAATGGCATGACAAATGTGCGCCATCATCAAAGCTAAAGGCCGTCCAACAAAAACTTCAGATGGAGACTTTTTTTTTTGTAAATTTGCAAACATAAATATATTAGAAATATAGTAAGTAATTTAAGAATTTGTATAAATTAGAGCAGCCATTTCACACATTTAAGTGATTTTTTTTTTTTGGGGGGGGGGGGGGGGCATTTTCTTATTCTGAGAATTTGTGTGTGACAACAAATTTACAATGTCCTGCCTTAAGCTTTAGAAACTGTTCCATGTAGCTGTCACATTGTGTGTACAATGCACAGGACTAAATCAGATAAACCGCAAGGAGAACATCCCACAGAGTCAAGCAGATAACTGGTTTTCCTGAAAGACCATGTGCTTTTTTAGGGGGAACACATAGGGGGAGTTTCATGCTTAGTAGTGAAAAAGAACAGAGTAAAAACAATGATTTTTTCAGCAAACAGAACAGAAACACAATCATAAGTTTCCCTATGAAGTACCAGAAATTTTAAAATGCATTAAAAAGCAGGTAACTTGGTATTGAACTGATTTGTCCTCCAATTAAAAATGATGAAGAGTACAAGGTTCATTCTGTTTTGTTTACTAAAAATTATTAAGCAGGCATCTTAGTTTAGAAATAGAATCACTTAACATTCAGGACGAAAAAAAATCTTGTTTTTAGATATTTGTTACAGAGAAATTATGATGATGACATGCCCTTGAGTTCAAATGCATCCAGAAACCTTGTCCATTTTTTGATAAGATGATTAGACATACTTTGCTCATAAACCTCATACCTTTGCAGAAATGACAGCAGGAGGGGTCAGGCTGTGTCCCAGCACCATGCTGGAGTGAACTCAGGTGCTGCCGTTGACAGTTTCTCTGTCAGTGTTTTGTGCAACACCCACCTGTTCCCTTCTAGCCGCATCCAACAGCTGACATACAGGCCAATTTGGTGAACTTCACAAAGGACTTAGAAGTTGTTATAAGTTGTTATGCAGCTCCTGCTCCAGTATTGCTTATATTTGTACCTGGGTCTTCATTGGAAGCTCAACCTAGCTGAACTTATGTCGAGCTGACAGCATATACACTCACCTAAAGGATTATTAGGAACACCTGTTCAATTTCTCATTAATGCAATTATCTAATCAACCAATCACATGGCAGTTGCTTCAATGCATTTAGGGGTGTGGTCCTGGTCAAGACAATCTCCTGAACTCCAAACTGAATGTCAGAATGGGAAAGAAAGGTGATTTAAGCAATTTTGAGCGTGGCATGGTTGTTGGTGCCAGACGGGCCGGTCTGAGTATTTCACAATCTGCTCAGTTACTGGGATTTTCACGCACAACCATTTCTAGGGTTTACCAAGAATGGTGTGCAAAGGGAAAAACATCCAGTATGCGGCAGTCCTGTGGGCGAAAATGCCTTGTTGATGCTAGAGGTCAGAGGAGAATGGGCCGACTGATTCAAGCTGATAGAAGAGCAACTTTGACTGAAATAACAACTCGTTACAACCGAGGTATGCAGCAAAGCATTTGTGAAGCCACAACACGCACAACCTTGAGGCGGATGGGCTACAACAGCAGAAGACCCCACCGGGTACCACTCATCTCCACTACAAATAGGAAAAAGAGGCTACAATTTGCACGAGCTCACCAAAATTGGACAGTTGAAGACTGGAAAAATGTTGCCTGGTCTGATGAGTCTCGATTTCTGTCAGAATTTGGCGTAAACAGAATGAGAACATGGATCCATCATGCCTTGTTACCACTGTGCAGGCTGGTGGTGGTGGTGTAATGGTGTAGGGGATGTTTTCTTGGCACACTTTAGGCCCCTTATAGTGCCAATTGGGCATCGTTTAAATGCCACGGCCTACCTGAGCATTGTTTCTGACCATGTCCATCCCTTTATGACCACCATGTACCCATCCTCTGATGGCTACTTCCAGCAGGATAATGCACCATGTAACAAAGCTCGAATCATTTCAAATTGGTTTCTTGAACATGACAATGAGTTCACTGTACTAAAATGGCCCCCACAGTCACCAGATCTCAACCCAATAGAGCATCTTTGGGATGTGGTGGAACGGGAGCTTCGTGCCCTGGATGTGCATCCCACAAATCTCCATCAACTGCAAGATGCTATCCTATCAATATGGGCCAACATTTCTAAAGAATGCTTTCAGCACCTTGTTGAATCAATGCCACGTAGAATTAAGGCAGTTCTGAAGGCGAAAGGGGGTCAAACACCGTATTAGTATGGTGTTCCTAATAATCCTTTAGGTGAGTGTATGTATGCAATGTGCTATTTGCCTCACTTGTACGTCGCTTTGGACAAAAGCGTCAGCAAATGTGTTAAATGTGAGTTTTAAATATAAACCAAGATACTATTGGTTACCCTTAATGGATTCTGCTGGCATTATGACAGAGGTGCGGACACGCCCGACCTTCCATGTTCGACGATTGACTTAAAGAGAAATGAGATTTTTGATTAATAACACAATTACTATGACATTAAAATATAGACTTAAATAAGAGCTTTTTAAAAATATTGTATAAGGGGTGGATAAAACAAAGGAAACACCATATGAAGAAGGACTTTGAAGCAATTAAATCAGAATTTCAAAAGCCGCTATAAAAGAGTCCTTTTAGGCTGAACGCAGAATTAGTAGTATGTGTCAGCTGTAACAGAGGTCTGGCAATCAGGACTTTGATGTGAGTTTTCAAAGCAACGAGTTCCAAAGAGAGTCAGAACCAAAACTGCAGGTGCATCCGTCACTGCAGAACTACTTAAAATGTCCAGGGGAACAGTCTCAAAGATCGAGACAGCATAAGCCAGACAGGGATAGACAGATTCAACAGGATAGCTGCTAAACCCCACAAAAGTACAGCCTTACAAAGTACCACCGAACAAAATCAGTACCTTGGTAACAGCGAAAGCTACACAATGTGAGATTCACAAATTCACATCAGTGGAATCCAAATCCGAAACCCAGCACCACACTTGCACTACAGCCAGTTCAGCTCTTCTGCACCCTGCCTCACCTTGATATGGAGGTCAGCTGTCCCTGATTAGTCAACACATATTTATACCCTCTTCCTCCCTGTGAGCGCTTGTGCGGAATCGTTTGTTTGTTGCTGTTGCTGATCCTCCTCTCCTTTGCTTGATTGTCTGTTCACTGACTTGTTTTTCTTTTTCCAATTCTGATTTTGCATCTAAACCCCCTACTGGTTGCCTGGTTTCTGACCAGCTCTTTATCAACTCCGCCTCTGTATTATTACTTTAACTCTGTATGCTTGCTTGGTTTTGACCCCTGTTTTGTGGATTTTTACTACAATTGTGTCATTAAAGATCTCGCCCTGCACTTGGATCTCTTCGCCATTACAGCTGGAATAAATGGCTTGCTTGTCATTCAGAAACCCCTTGTATCTAAAGCAGCACCTGGTGTACAAAACCTGGAATCCTGAGCGATGGAAAAAATAATACGGTCTGATGAGTCATCTTTCACCCAATTTCCTACATTCAGACAGGCTGACATTTGGAGCAAACCAAGGATGCCTTCAGCCTACAGTGTCTGCTGGTATGGGGAGCCACCTCGTGGGGGCCATTAAGTTTGATGATTGCTCTGCATAGTCGTATAACAGGCGGAGAACATGGGGTCCTTTTACAGGACCAGGTGCACACTATGGTGCAAACACTGTTCCCTCATAATATTCCCGTATTCCAATGCCACTATACATACTGCTAAACAAAGAATGTGTTCATGAACACCAGAACGAAGTAAAACACTTTTCATGGGTTCCCCAGTCGCCAAATCCGGACATCACTGAACCTTAATGGGGAACTTTGTAGGGCGGGGAGTGATGGGGGGGGGGGGGGGGAGAGGATAGATTTCCACCTTCTTCAAAACTCAAAGACTTGACGCAGATCAGGACGCTTGCGACTACATTCCAGGTAGAATTGAAACTGCTCAGAAGTCACAGGCCCAGCACCAGATAAATGCTTAATATTAATATTTTTTATTTTGTACACCCCCTGTACAATAGTTCATAGCTATACTGGATATTTGTAACTGATGCATGAATATAGTTCTCTATAGTTCGATCGTTACTTATTTGATCAAATATGGAGAAGGATTGAATGTCATAATTGTAATGATCGCTGATCATTTCAAGGTTGATACTATGAAAAGGAAGATCCTTATTTACATATAATTACTCTGGAGGTAGGTTTTGGCCTTCGGGCGTCTCATGGGGGGCAGCCAGGTCCTTGGGCGTTTGTTATTCTTCGCCATTTCTCTCTGCAGTTCCCTAAAATGTGTCTGAAGGTATATATTCTGTTTTGGTTGGCCACCACTATCCTGTACCTGCAGCCTGAGACCCACAGCTTGTCAACACATGCATAGGCATCTCTCCATCTTTGTTTTTTTTTTTTTGTTATTTTTGTCCTGCTGAAATGCCAGCTGCTTTTCTTGTTGGTTGAGTGCTGTCACTTCTGTCTCTACCCAATCTCCACTCGCTCCGGAAATATGCGGTTCTGTGCTGCCTTGCTTCACAAAAAAAGTTCTGTTTAATATGGAATCACGCTACCTGTTCTGTCAACTGCTCAGTTATTGCTAATTAATTTAAAACACGGACTGGTCATGGACATAGATGTCATAGAAGGTGTATAAGGCAAATGTATGTACCGTGAACCAGGGTAAGTATAAGCATAATATATATATAATACATGTGTGGTGATGGATGTCCTGTCCTTGCTAGCATTTTGCATAATGATACTTTGATTAAAATATGCATATTTTTACATATGAAATATTTACGATATTCTAAAAAGTTTTTCTTAACCAGTGACTTATAGCTCGTAGAAAGAATTTTTATGTGCTATAGGACACTTTATAGACTGGGAAGTCTGCCAAGCCAGAAACTGAACAAGCTGCGCTTAAGTTAAAAGACAAAATTAATGACGTGGTGCTGATGGAATTTTAAACTGTACACATTTCTTTCAAATAGACATTCCTGCCAGTCAACATGTTCTGACCCCCGTTCCAAAAACACCGGGTAGTGCTTCACCAATGGCGATTTTTGTAACTTTTGCTCTGAGCTCATGCATTATGACCATCAGCAAAATATTAGCAACACTGAAGTGAATGAGTGTAATTTCCTATGTCTTTGTTTGAAGAAGCCAGTGTCAGATCATCTTCAGTGCAGTGGAACGTTGCAATTAAATAACATTTTCCGTTCTTAGTTGATTTTTGTTACTGTTCTAAAGCCCCAAGCCATTTACCACTGCAATAGCTGAGCTTATTAGAGCTTTTTACCAAATGCAAATATTTTGACATATGGTGGGCAACAGCAATCAAAAGTAAAGGAAACAGTCCATTTTGAAATATTTTATGGGCTGGCTATCTGCAGTTAAATTCCTGTTTGCTTGCTGCCTTTGTTCCCATTTAGTTTGTCTTATGAAAAATAAATTCATAAATCAAAATATTTAAAATACCTTGATCCTGTAGCCTACTGGAAAAGAGGTTGGTAGAAGTATAGATGGTTGCATATGTTATTTCAAATGTCTTTTATCCATTTGTTCTCTGGACGTTCTTTGTTTTCCCTGGATGCTGGATTTTATGGGCTTTTGTCCTTCTCCCAGCCATTTTGGGGAGGCCCATGTTTAGGCAGAAGGACTGGAGGAAGTGCAGCCTTGAAATGTCATACCCAGATTAGGAAGAGCATTTCAAGATGATTTGGCCAACTGTTAATTTGCATAAATGGGATTTTTCCAGGGGAAGAGAGACAGCCTGGAACTTCATTGTTGGTGGGGAGGAGTTGTTCCCTGTATCCCATCAAATTCAGTTTACAGAGACTAACTCTAGAATGCACAGATTTCCTGTCCAGTTTATCTGACATTTTTCAAAAGGCTTCACCAGACTTTTCAAACTTAAAACACCCCAAACTAGTCCCTCCCGCATCGAAACACAGTACGACATTCAACAATGACACACCGCAATTTTATGTACTAGGACCGTCACACAAATTGGCAAGAAATATGAGCTTTCCATGAAATCACAATGAAACTGTGAAGCAAATGCACTGGGTAGCGTGCAGATCAGCAATTTTGAGATGGGCGCCTATTTCAAGGTTGTAGATTTGAATCCTGTGGCCTCAAGAGAAATCAGTTCACTGCTGAGCCACTGAACAAGAGCCCTAAGTTCCACAGGTTCAGGGGCACCAGACTCCATAGGTGCCTCATGGACAGCAAGGTGGGATATGCGAAAACCAAGGAATTCGTATGTACCTTGTACAAAAAGCAAATAGAGAATACAATTTAAGCAACTAAATGGCAATTTTGCTGAAATTAAACAAAGGATGACGTCGCTTTCTCTGCAGTGCAGAGCGGGAGTCTTTGCTGAGCTGTGATGCACCACAGCCGCCTGCTTTGCAATGCAGTCTCTGTATTTCCATAGTGAGAACCGTGTCCTACACTTGTCATAAGTTGAAATTGTTCTGGTAGAGCTGGACGTCTCATTACTTCAGCAAAGGTTTATCCTTTAACCACTGTTCCTTACTTTCATAAAAAGGGTATCAAGGTGCAGCCAAGAGTGTCAGGCTTAGGAGCTTGGGCATGGATTGTGATCTTCAGCATGTAATGCTTTGTGAATTTAAGAGGGCTGGATTGGAAACGAGCATCTCTGTGTCTGAGGCTCCGGGTCTCTCCTGGACTAAACTGCTCTCTCCTGGCAGAGAGTGAAATGAAGGATGTCTGTTCACAGATGATGGCAAGGGGGTCGTCATGCTTACTGGCACAAGCGAGTAGGTGATTGTGAAATGTTTAGTGTGGTACATGATAAGATATAGATAGATAGATAGATAGATAGATAGATAGATGACGGTAGAAATTATAGGCACTGCATTTATTTTGAGCTAATTACAGGTTGTGATTTCAAAGTGCAGCCTGTCTGTTATTTAACATGCATAATTTAATGTTGAAACCCCCCTCCCCCAGGAAAATGCAATGCAATTAATATTATGCAGGCATATTATTTTGATCCATTAACCAATCGTGTTACTTTGTACAGTTTTAAATGTAGAAAATGTACGCCAGAAAAAAAAGTTTAAAGACAATTCCTTGGAATACAGCTTGTCCACATAATAAGTGTCTTCAAAGTAAACCAAAGAACTTGATCTCAATAAATAAAAGAGTATGTAATCAGCTAACAGCATGGGTGAGCGGGCACCATCATTTGGGAACGGCATTATTTCAGGGAACTGCATTTGGTAGCTCTCTTGAAATCAATCTTTAACAACATTACAGAAGTGAAAATTCAGGCTCTGAGAAATGAAAACCTATATTGATCGCATTCATCTGTGAAATAACCTTGCGAATAGCTTTTCTTTTAAGTACTATTTAAATAGTATATTCTGATGCTTTTTTGCTTTTTGGAACTGTACAATATGTCCATAACCCTGGATTTAATACCACTCAAGAGAAGATGCAGTATTGTCATTTTTGGTTTTTTTTTTAGATGAACTATTAATTAGTTTTTGTTTTGCACTTGTGGCCTTCCTGTTAGCTTTAGTAAATCTCGTCATTATCCTCTGACCTCTCTCAGTAATGAAGTGTTTCCAGCTACAAAACTGCCCCTGACTGGATGTTTTCTGTCACATGACACGGTATGTTGATGAGTGGTGGGACAATGGCAGTCTGCCCATCTGGATCACAGCACAGAGGCAGGTAAAACAAAAGAGCAATGGCTGGGATTGGGGCCGTAACACTTCATCTGGCCATGAAACAGGCCTCTCTCTTTATCACTGTGCGTCACTCTCTGTGAACCCTTCTCTGCTCCCTACTCCCTGCACTCCCTCCCCACGTTCCCCTCCCACAGGGTCTGAAGGCCGGCTCTCTGCACTTCCCTGGAACAGCATCCCTATACCAGGGGGAGAAGGTTCAAGTTGGAGAAATGGAGCCAATATTTTACAATCACTCTAATGAGACAGCTTGGCATGAGAAAGTGGATAAAGTCACGGCTTCCTGGTTCAGCGAGCAGGACCTGGATTTTGTGTCGCTGTATTTTGGGGAGCCGGACAGCACAGGGCACAAGTATGGACCGGATTCCCCACAGCGTAGGGAGATGGTGAAGCAGGTGGACCGCACAGTGGGATACATCCGCCAGGCAGCCCAGAAGCATGGGCTCACTGACAGACTCAACATCATCATCACTGCTGACCATGGCATGACCACAGTGCTCAGGAATTTTATTTACAATGACATCATCTGATTCTGCATCCATGATTTCTTCTTCAGTGTGATCAGGTTCCATATAATATATAGGTATTTTAGTAGTAACATTTACATACTGTGGGCATTTGTAATACTCATATGATTCTATAAAGGCAGAAACAAAACAACTGAGTAAGATTTCTTCCATTTCCTTTCATTTGAATTAAGTACCATTATAAAGTATTTCAAAGGAAATAGAGATAAAGGCAAAGGTCTTATCATACTATGGCTTTCATGCAAGCTGCAGAAAACACAAATATCAATTCTTGAAACAGTCACGTTACAAAGGTTTTTCTTAAATATGTCCTATTTGTGTATGTGACTATGACGAACTGGTATCCCATCTAGCGTGTCTCCTGCCTGGCAAGCTAAGCCTGCTAGGGACCGTGACCCTACACTAGATAAGTGGTTATGAAAGATGGATGAATAGATGTATCAATTATATAACTCTACACGACCATAAAATGTCAGGTGGACCCTAATCTGGGAGAAACACAAGATCAGTGTCTCCTTATGGTTTGATAAAGATTTGTGCTTTGATACACTTTATTGTTCTCACTGGATAGCACTATTGCAAACATAATTAACTTGCAGTTTTGACCTAAAGAGAACACAGTGTTTGTCCTTCTACATTTGCTGGAATCTTGTCATCATATAATCATTATTTAAACGCATGACTGCACAAATAAATACTTTTAAACAGAAAACGTTGGCACTTATGATGGTAACATCTTTATGCTTTAAGTTATTCAAAATATATATCAGGACTATTATTACTGAGCAGGTTCTAATGAACTACTCAGTTTAACTGGTATTTTTTATTTATCAATGTTCAGCTGATACTATGAAAAGTATCTATCCTTTATTTTTGAAAAGCTTTCAGTAAAAAAATGTTGCAGATAATCCGGAGCATGGATTTTAGTGTAAATTTGAGGCTTTATCCACTGGCCACTTGACATTTTCAGCATAATGCACTTTCCCGGAATAAGTTTGTTAATAGTAAAATGGTAAATCACCTGACAATGGCACAAATTTATATTGTGCATTGAATGTGATTAAATTTCCTGTCCTCTGGATTAAAAAAAACACTGGGTAGGCGGCTGGAAGATGGATTGGAGGATGTGTCAAAAAAATCTTCTGAGTATACAGAAAATGGACTTTGCAAAACTAATGAAAGTTATTCATGAATCTAAAAGTTTGCTGATTCCCATTTTGTAAACAGTGGAAAATAAAGCGTGGTCTTGCCACCTTATCCATAAAATTACAAACACTCTAGGTTTATGCTAAACATCTCAGGATACTTTGAGGTGAGATTTTTATATAACATAACTCTCATATACACCCAGTGGCCACTTTATTATAACCACGTGCTCCTCGTTGCAAACAGCCATCACCTACAAACAGCAAATTACTGTATGTGGCTGCAGCTGAACACATGCAGCATGCTGAAAGAGGTTTAGTTATTGCGCAGCTTAGTATTACAGGGGCTAAGGAGGATGATCTGAGCGGTTTTAAATGCGGTGTGATGGTTGATGCCAGACGTGGTGGTTCCAGCAACTCAGAACCAGCCAAACTGCTGGGATTTCCATGCACTGCAGTGTCCAGGGCAGGGCTGGGTAACCCTGACCCTGGAATGCTGGTATCCAGGAGGTTTTTTATCCTACCTTCTGAGCTACTATCTGCCTGAGATCAGGTGTGGTTCATCAGAGACCAGGGAGAGAGAGAGAGAGCGCGGTATGGAGTGCGTACTGATACAGTGCGTTGCTGCACCCACCTCAAAACGGACCTCCCCCGGGGATAAGAACCCGTGTACATTCATGTGGCGGTTGATACCTCAGCACCACTTATAGTTTGAATGGAATGAAAATCTGTGCAGTTTTTTTCCGGTGGCTGCAGTGCCAATCCTGCCACCAAGAGACCGGGCAGGACGGAAAACCTGGTGGATTCCAGTACTCCTGGATCAGGGTTGCCCAACCATCCAGAAAACATCCAGTCATGGGCCGATCCCTAGCTGAAAACACCTTGTTAATGAAAGAACAGAGGAAACTCTCCAGACATTTTCATGCTAAAATAAAAGCAGCAACTCAATACAAGAGTGGGGTATATAAAGTCATCTATGAAACGCAACTTGTCAACCTTTGAAGTGGTTCTGGAGACTTAAAGGGTCTAACCTGATACTATTGTAGTGTTTAATGTCAAATACCTCTTTTAAGCGGATCACTTTCCTATACTACATCCTTCGGCTCAAACATATTTAGAATGAATTCGAACATGGAAGATACTCTTTATAATGGATTATTTATGCTGAAAAATAAAAAAAAATAGAAATGAACATTTTTTACTGAGCAAAAGTTATTGTGATTGTTACAGCCATTAGAATTTGTTAGTATCCACTCTTGGATACTTAATTTAGGATATTTAATTTCCAAAACATGTTTAGTAACTATGGTGAGCAGCAAGAATTTGTAATGTTTGTTATAGTTTTTAAAATATTTTGTAGCCCCATCTACACAGCTTTGAGTTTCACCTGGACATTCTACAGTAAGGAAGGCCAAACTTCAAATGTGATGTGGGCAAAATTTGTGTTTTGTTTTGACTGTGTCCTTCTAATCGAGTGCTTGATTCTGAGGTTCGGCACACTGAGGAGCATGTGAGACAGTTAAAGGTCAGTTGGGACACTGAGCGAGGATGTCTCACAGTCTTTGGTAACTTAGCAGTTTCAACCAGACCTGCAATTAATGGTTACACTTACACATCCTCGTGTTATTGAGCATCCTGCGATAGATCAGCCATGTCACATGGTACCGCAAGATCACACTCAGCTTTTATCCACTCCTATTGTTTAACACAGAATGTGCAATTTTCTTCTGAAGCTCAAAATAATTACTGTGTACGATTCTGACCAGCATGCTTCTGTGAGATCAGACACGGCATCTTTTTGCTCAGTATCAGAAAGCCAACTAAATAAAAAAGCTCTGGGAAGCGATGCTGTTCTGAAGCCTTGATGAACTTCATGGTTTTCCTTACAGTGCTCATATTTAAGCATTTTACTCCAAAGTGCCTCTTGATAATGCAGTAACATGTTGTCCCAGTGCATATTTCCTCCACTTAAGTCTGTCTTACAAGTCTAATTAGGCCAATTCTCTCACCATACATTGCAAATGCTCAATTGGAAGAGGCCCAACTAATTTGTCCCATAGTTAAGCGCATTTTATTCATGTACCTCTCAATTTCAGCAAACACGTTCTTCCTTGTAGCGGTGCCATGCTTTGCTGCCACAATAAAATTTTCCATGCCAACTGGGAGAGCTGGCTTCACTCCCCTGATGGAAATTGACAGGGCTGTCAGTCATGTCTATGCTTTTGTCAGCCATGAGGAAAAATCTGCAAAACTTTCCACTTGACGACAGAGCTGTGTCTCTGTTTTTCGTTTGTAGCTCACTGATCCTCTCTGTGACTATTTTGCGACAAGCTTGCTCGAAAAAACTTTGTCTGACTTCTTGTAATTTCAAAAGTATATGGAATGACTGTTGGTAATGCCATGGATTATAGGACCACTGGATCAGAGAAGCACCTGCAAGTCAAGGTAAGGGATGCCCATTCACTCTCAGTATTTGAAATAGAAAGCTTATCAGCTTGGTCTAGTTCTCTGAAACGGCACCACTGCTGCTGTAAATGCTGTCATCTCTAGGTATGTTTGTCATATTTCAGCATCAGCATCCATCCTCTGGCTCATTTTTTCACCTCTTTACCTGAATGCCTTCACATTCATCTATTTTCTTTATCTCCTTTGCTCTGCTGCTTCTTCTAAAGCTGTCCCTAAATAACATATGACGTGTAGCAACTGTCATTGAGTTTTCTGTTAAAAATCCATTGTGTTTGATGCAATGCTGGTATTATAGAAAATTTAAGACCAAATTACAGTTATAAAATGAACACACTGACATTTCTGATGCCTGTGATTTAATTTTATGTATAATAAATTGACATTAGATGATAATTTTTTAAAATCAAGTACACTAGAAACACAATATGAAAACAAACAGCGAACATTTACAGAGTGGTTTTAATTGAACGGGTGGGGTGGGGTGGTGACTCTGAGGTTAGGGCTCTGTGCCAGTAATTATAAGGTTCCTGGTTTGAATCCTGCAAATACCAGGCGTTTTCCTACTCTGCTGGGCCCTTGAGCAAGGCCCTTAACCGGCAGTTGCTTTGTCTTGGGTATGACGTCAATCTACATCCAGCCTTGTGGGAGGTAGGCTTATGGGGAAGTCTGGGGGTTGGCGGCAGGATTGGCACTCCAGCCCCCAGAAAACTCTCATGCTGGTCCATTTGGACTTGTGTGGTGAGGTATCACCCCCTGCACTCTCATCTCTGTGGTGGTGGGTGTGTCACTCTGCTGTAATCAGGGCACGCCCCTTACATTTACAGTAATTAAATTGGTAGTTCTGCTATTATTTGACATATTGCGTGTCAAGCCTGCATATATACAGTATATATATATGTGTGTGTGTGTGTGTGTGTGTGTGTTAACCCCAGTTAAACTATTTGGAAGCTTATTCAAAATTCTCTCTATCCACTGTGTGAAGAAATATACTACTTTCAGTTCCTGTGAGCTCTTTCATCCATCTTCCAGCTGCTTCTCCGGGACAGGGTTCCAGGGGACCTCCAGGCAGCATAGAACCTTCCGGTTGAAGGCACACATACTCACACACTGCAGGAGGTTTAGAGACACCAGCTCACCTAACTGCATGTCTTTGGACTGTGGGAGCAAACCCACATGCAAATTACACACACACACGTGTCTGTGTTCATACCTTTGCGGGCACCGTCCGTTAATTTCTATGGGAAAAACCATAACTCCGACAATGACACCCTTAACCGCTATGCAGCATGTTTGCCATTATTTGTTTTTTGATTGTAGTCACAGAATTTCATAAAATTGAGTTTCCCCTTATGGGGACCACAAAGGTGCACAGCATCAAAATATCAGGTTTTT